GAGAACGTTCATTGCAATTGAGTGGCTACGGAATTGTCGATATTGGAAGTTGAAAAAAGTTGCAAGTTCTTGGAATCAAAGAGACTGATTAAATTTCCACGGATGTATGATCGGAATAAGAACAAAGACAATTTACCGATTAAGAAGCCCTCGACTATTGCCACTGACATGCAGACACTTAGAATTGAACTGTCACGGTACACCTGCGATCATTCTCATGATCATGTCCAAGGCAGAGGTAAGGACTTGAAGGCTACGGAAAGATACAAGTATGTCATGACTGACTTGGTTCACTCGGTCTTCCGTGTAGCAACCTTTCAAGTTCGAGCGACACTTTTTGCGGCCCGTATCCGCCCTGTTCAGAGCATGGCCGGCACTCCGGAGTCAGCTGAGGTCTTATAGGTACCAGAAGCGGAGAGGCTCACTGTTTACCAGAGGATCCTGCAGTGGGAGGAACGATTCAAAGAATTCCGAGCGTCATGCTTTTGAATCGCATTTGATAACGGGATTCGTGGGGTCCAGATGCCCGGCCCCGGCGGGAGCCAGCAGCCGATAGACATTGTCGTGGATACATGCCTCTGCTCTGACATCGAGAAGAACTTCAAGTCGTACCAAGGTATCTTGAAGATTTTCGAATCCGTTCCCCAGGCCATCTTTGGACATGTGAATTGCCCACCGGGAGGTGAGGTCGATCTGCTACCCACAGAGTCGGAAGGTGATCAGCATTGGCGAGCTCCTTGCCGCGTCCCCACCGCGAGGTGTTCGAAATGTCCATTGGAAAATGTGCTGGGGGAATGGTCTCGGTTCCATTTATGCCGGAATGTGGGAAACCATTGATGAAATTACGAGTCATCGTGCTGACCATGAAATTCCATTGCCCCCTATCTTGGTCATGATAGGTTGGGCTGGAAATGACGTTTACGGCGATCATGGATACACTGGATGCTCTTGGATCCATCAATCAAAGTATAACAGGAGTCCAGCCGACCGGAAGGGTGCAGCCGAATTTGTGGACAAACAGTACCGCCGAGTTCAGAACGCCATGGAGGATTTGATCAACCCCTGACATTGTTGTTTTTGGATGCGGTGATGCGAACGTGTATGGTCTCCATCCGTCGTACCTGAGCTTGGCAAGTGCTCCGATCTGATTGCCGGAGGTTTCCGTTGGATTTCTACGGAGCCATGGCATCGATCCGATATGACAATTTGCATTTGGAGGACAATCAGATTTGATCAATTTCAACAGAACTTTGATCAAACTTTTCTCAAATCGGCCATCAGAGCGCACTTAAGACCGTGATGGAAATGGAGGAGGAGACGGAACAAGGCTGGATTCTTGGACCCAGACCCACAGGAGCGAATCAAAGCGGCGCATTCGTACCCGAAATTGGCCCAGTTCAAGATCGCCCTCTCGGAGACAGAGCAAGTTTGACAAGAACTTCAACCCGCAGAGCTCCCGACATCGTTGGCCCAGGAAGCACAGACTTCTGATGAAAGGATCATGGAATGTTGCCGCCACCAACGAGGAAGCTGAGCATGAAGCCGTCCGGTAGGATGCGCCGAAACCTGTTGCATTCATGGAGGGTGATCTCATGTCAATCGTTCCGGTCTTCAAGGATGTCGACTCTGACGAGGAGGAAGCGAAGCGCCTCTGAGGCTGCATTTGCAGGCAGACTTTGATGAAGCGGTTGATTCTGAGTGGTCGCCAGTGGCATCTCCTCCAGATGACATTCCTGACCTCGACGGATGGGAGGCCGTTCACGAGTCCCGGATGGGTATCATCCATAACCCGCATGACAAGTTTCAAGCCTGATGATGACGTCAAGGATAAGGGTTCGGAAGTGGACTACGAGGCCGGCAAGCCGGGAGGCCTGCCGAACCGAAGCATGTCGCCAAGTCCTCTGAGAAGGTTGAGAAGCTGAAGCCGAAGGCGATGCCACCGAGTCACCACACGGCCAAGGCACCGACCGAGAAGCTCCACAAGCTCGAAAAGGCTCAGGGACGCCAGGCACACCGCGAGATCTCCCGCAAATTGTGGTACTACTTGCGCGGACACGCACTGGCAGACAGCTTGCCGTCTCCTGAAATGGATTTCACAGATCTTCCCATGGATTGGAATGAAGTGCGTGAATATTTGTGCAGGAAGAGCCAGAATGTCGTGGACTGGGATATTTTGCAAGTCGTTAGAAGCTCCGACGCTCGCCGCTTCCAATTGCAAGTTGCCAAGCCCGACAATGAGACGACAACCTGGAAAGGTTTGCCGTGGATGCCTACTCACCTGCGTAGATTCCAAGGTCACAACGCCTATGTGCAGAAGCAGGGCCGCTTTGCTCGCATGATCAAGCAGCTCTACCCTTGACCCGGACTACGCAGCCGACATGGTGGACAACGACGACATCCCCATGTTGAACTTCCGACCGGACTTGGTGGACGAGTTCAAGACATTTCCTCGGGTGATTTATCATTCGTGTGACAAGAATGTCGTGTCCCATCTGATCCAAAATGGCTTCATTCCAGGTGGATGGCCCCGGGTGCGCAATCATTTCATCGCCGCCCATCCATGGGACGCAAAAGCGGGAACTCGGGCCGGCAAGCCGTTTTACGTGGCCGTGGACTTTGAATTGGCAATGCAAGTGGGAGACCGGCTGTTCAGGACTGATGAGTGTATCATCTGTGTTTATAACGCGGCCGACGGGAGTTCTTTTGGTCGAATCGTGCATACGCCCCATGTTGAAAAATCATACAATGAGCGTGTCAAAAAGTCGATTGAACAGAACAATTCCGTTATGAACGCATTTGACCTATCCAAGAGAGGCATCGGCATGGGCTTACTTCTGCAGCCTGAACGGCGTTCAGCCTGGCAAGTTCTTTACCCTGACCAAACCCCAAGCGCCTCACCGGTGTCATCAAGGACATGGAGTCCACCGAAGGGATCGAGCAAGTGGAGTTGAAGAATTGCTTGTCTACTATGCCGCAGTCTCCAACTCTGAGGTCACTGACCCGTCGCGCAGGAAGAGTAAGGGCTGGAACAGGGGGGAAGGACGAGGACGCCAATTGGGGAGGGAAAGCCGGAGTTGTCACAGAAATGAAGGTCGAAAATCTCAAATATGCTGACCGCGTCACTGCTCAGAAGATCACCATCCCTTTTGCCAAGTGCGAGAAGTGTGACCAAAACATGCTCGACGGAACTGAACGTCTTGAAGGCGACCCCTTCTTCATGTACAATTGTTCTGTTGCCCAGCTCACTCCACCATGCTGCGACTTCCTCCATCGATTGGGTACTTGTTTGTCACCAGACACAGGCAGAAGCTTGGAAGCCAGAGAGAAAGGAAAGGGGACAGAGATCAGGACACGCTTGGTCTTCATGCCCATGCCAAACCATGACACCTCCACTCCATTGGACGCTTCCACCGAAGCAATGGTGTGCGACCCAGGACAATTTTATTCGCTTGCACAGTTTGCGGTGTTTACGTCCAAGTTGGCTCCAGCGCGAGGGGAACCCGCTCCGACGGTGTTTGGATGGTCTGGTCAGATGTTGGTACCTGACACGCGGCCTGGAAGAAGACTATGAAGATCTTACCGGCAGTGCAGAGATGAGCCCGATGCGAGGGTGTCGCCGGGGATACACATACCATGAACGAGGGTGCTTCAGGTGTGGCGGAACTGATCACTGGCAACGAGACTGTCCCTTCCGAGGCAAAGGCGGCAATGTCCGACAAGAGCGAGAACAGTGGGGCTGTTTAGGACAGTACCATAACTACAGCGACTGGCAGTCCGGAGGATATGGTGGAGATGAATGGCAATCCCGAGGATATGGCCGGGATGATTGGCAGCAATGCGGCAAAGGCCAGAAAGTGGAAGCTATCAACAATGCACCCAAAAGGGCTGAGGCTCAGGCCATCGTGGTCGTTGACAGGACTACCAACGCTGCAGCTACTCGGGAGGGTATGCCGATCGTGAACGTTCTCCACCAGCTTCTGGTGGCGCTGCTTCGAGATCTGCCGCTGCCGCTCCTGAGCCGCCGGCGTATTGCCCTGGACGCAACACGCGCAGGATTAATTCGGCCACATTTGAGACCATGACATCCCAGGGACTGATCCGTGAATGCGTAATTCAGGAGCCTGACGGAATAATGGACAATGAGTATACATTCCCTTACGGCCATGTTGAACTTGAAGGGCTGATTTCAACCGGAAGCTAAATTTTGTCCTAACTTTCGTTGAATTCAAGTTTTCAACTTTGCCGTTTGTCGTGATTGCATGCTTCTGCCCGTCTCCTCCATTGCTTCGTACAAGATAAGCCGTGGCGGGAGTCCAGCCGTTTGCACGTAGGCTTTGCATTTTGACTTGTCCAAATGGTTCCATCAATTTGCCATGAGCAGTAAAAGCCGTGGCGGGAGCCCGACCATGTCATTTGCCTGGTTTGCTTCGATCGTATCCGCATCAAAACGTATGGTATAGCTAAATTTTCCGTGCACTAGTCGTCATGTCATTTTATGCTGAACATCTCTTCTGCGACAGCTGGTGCGTCATGTACATGCATTGCACCGTTTATTCTCAGGTCACTCTTGATCTGCCTCGACTTCCTGCCTCCGCTGAACAGCTGCGGGCGGCGGGTGGTGTTTTTAGGCAGTATCATGACATGTACACAGTAATAACTCCCCGTTAGTGTCGTATGGCTCGAAAATAAGCTGACCGCTTGTGGCTGCATTACTTGTAAAAACAAATTTTAACAAATCGGAGCTTCAAACCGGAGCTTCAAACAATCTATGTATTTCTAATTTAGATTGAGCTCTCATAGTAGCAAGGAACCACGCCGAATAAACACAGGCCTCAGCCAGAGGACTTGACAATTTTACTTTGGATATTGCCATTGTGTGGGGCCAACGCGTTCATTTTACAGAGTGTTGGTGTTTGACTGTATTTGACTTCATTCTAGAAATGGCGGGCCAAGTGCGGCAAGTGTTTGGGGATTGTTGCTGAGCGTGAGCGACACGAAAGGTGCTGCGCCTGGCAAGACTGATCCGGCTCTTTCGGCTCCTACGCTTGGTGCGGCGCATTCAGCAGCCACTTTGCTGAAGGATCCGACGCACATTGTGCACTGCGCTATTTCATGAAAAATTGGCTCAAATGAAATCATTCGTGAAATCAAATCACATTTGTGAGTTTTGATGTTGAAGGGTTTGCCACAGGTCTGCTTGGAGCATCCAAGCGACAGGTTGCAGGGCACATGTTGGTACACTCTGTGGGTAGGGCGTGCGCACTGGTAATTTCCACGTTGGTGCGCTTCTTGCAATTGGAAAAGCAGGATTATGCCAAGCCATTCTCGTGGATGTCTCGCAAACACACACGCTAGACAAGAAATTGACCACTTGAAGTGGTCTGATGGGAAATGAATCCCGCATGCATGATAAAACGGCAAGAAAATCCCTCAATGTGAAACTTGGGATTCGATTGAAGATCAGGGATTGAAGATCAGGGAAACTGCGCGAAACACTGAAATGATACGTCTCTCGATACAAGCGAGGAATTGACAATTGTAAGACGCTTCGCATGTCAGGCCACGGTGAAACCAGCACCAAGCACCAAGTTGCTAAGCCCACGTGCGCTTTTTTGGTAGCTAAAACATGTTGGTTGAACCACGCGGGGTGTTTACCTGAGATCCCGCTCTGCATGTTTTTTTTGTTTTATGCTATGTAAGATGTGGGTTGGATTTGTGTTTGGGGTCTTAGCAAATTATGATCTTACCTGCTCTCAGGTTCGACTCCCTGTACTTGATGTCCACAGCCATTCGTAGCAGCTTCGGAATTCTCGGGTGGACTGCTGCTTTGCTCTTCCTGATTCAAATGCTTTTTGCGCTGGCCTGCTCCTCAATATCGAAGCCACATGTGGAAAGGGCCAGCCACATGAGCATTCTATCAAGCAAAACCGCTAAAGTTCACTAAAGGACATGTGCTTCTTGTGCAAATGATCCATGCCACCAGTTTGAGTCATTTGGCCCGCAGTAAATGTCATGGGACACTCGCACTCTGCACTCCTTCTGGGATGACCATCTCTTTCTTTTCAAGAAGAGATCTTGCGTATCCACTTTGATGACATGTGATGACGTGTGATGACATGTGGTAAGGTGTTGAACCAGCTTCTCTATGGGTTCTATTTCTCGGAGGAACTGTTGAAGCGGGACAATGAGGAGCTCAGGGACCGCTTTGAATTGGAATCTCGGACGACAAATCAAGCACATTGACCTGTTTGGCCACAGTCCTGGCATCTTCTGGCTGAAGACATATCACAGGTCCAAAAAATGAGGGGGGCGTGCATTGGAATGTTTGTGTTTGAGAATTTGCACATACAATTTGTAAATTTTAAACAATATTTTCGTTTGCAGGATATTTTCGCAGATGTTGTTCCGATAATTATGCTATGGGAGGCCATGCGTTGACGCTTCCGGAATTATTGGAACATTCGTGCGACCTTGCTGCGGAAAGAACTCAACCAACCATAACGTTGCACTTGAATTGTTTATCTTTGTCTCTGAGTGTCTCTAAGAAATTGCGTGCTATGCTGCCACAAATTGCGCGTCGGATTATGTGGATCATATTTTAGCAATGTCTGTTGCGTGCTTGACTGAAAAAAAAGTAATTTGGATTAACAACCTGGTTCCTAACGAAGCAGCACAGGCGGGGTCTAATCAGGTGGGCATTGTCAAGAATGTGCCCGGTATCACTTCAGGACGTTTGCCTTTCTTGATGATTGGAACTGCATCCATGAAAACCATTAGGAAAGCGCTGGCCAAATTACCAAATAAACTCATTGATTCTGCCGTCCTGGTCCTGATCTCGCACTTGGTTTCAGTCAAATGCCAGCAATCAAAACTGCTATATAAAGGCATACAAGATGGGGATACATCTATGTAAAGCTTGCTCAGATCTAATTCAAACACGCAACTGTACCTTCGCATGGGGCTTGTCGAGTTGAAGGGTTTCAAGCTTCAAGTTTCCCTTCATGCATGTCAACATCCTTGCGTATATTTTGCTATCAGTCTGAGTGCCAAAACTGTTTGCTGCAATGCACGGGCATGTGCGCATTTCGTCCGTGAGCCAGGAACCAGCAGTCTTCATGCAGAGTTTTTTTTATTGAATGTCTAACGTTGACGCATTTCAATTCCCCCCCTTAAGTTTGATCACGAAAGGTAGCTCCAGTGGGGCTACCTTGGGTTTTGCTTTACGAAGTAAAGGGGAGGGCGGCCAGCCCCGTTACCTGATTATTCAGGAGAGTGCTAGTCATTTCAGCAAACCCCCCTCCCCGCGCCCCCCACGCACCGCAACAGCAGACCCAAACCATTGGAATTTACACTCTCTTGCTTCTTTTCGGATATAGACACTACATATTGCAACATGGTGAAACCCGCGTAAATACTAGTGTTTTTGCTAGGTGCTGGCACAAAAAAATCGGTAAATACCGTGATTTTTGCTACCAAATGCCAAAAAAAACAAGATCGTAAATAGGGTGGTGTTGGGCTTCCGACCCGCCAAAAACATCAGTATTTACAGTGTTTTTTGCTCCGAGAGTTGCAAAAACACGCGAAAACAACCACCTATTTGACGATTTTTGGCCACTATGGAACCGCGAAAAAAGCTGCAGGGGCAGCAACAACAACAACAACACCAACAACACCAACAGCACCAACAACCCCAACAACACCAACAACACCAACAGCAGCAAGAGCAGCAAGAGCACCAACAGCACCGACAACCCCAACTACACCAACACCAACACCAACACCACCACCACCACCAACAACAACAACAACAACGACAACGACAACGACGAAGACGGCAACAACAACAACAACAACAACAGCAACAGAAAAAAAAAAAAACAAAAAAAAACGGCAACCACAACAACAACAACAACACCACCACCACCAACAACAACAACAACAGCAAGCTCTGAATCGCAGTGCTTCCTGCCGAACCTGAACAGCAAGCAACCTCTGGATCGGAGTGATCCCCGCCGGACCTCAAATGCGCCGGACTTCAAGTACAAAGGATCTCCGAAGATATTCCAGATAGAATGCCATAAAGAATTTCAGAACATATTCAAGATAAAATGCGAATGCCAGATGGGATGTCAGAAAATATGTCAAAAAAATGTCGTTTGGTGGCACTTAACTCGAAGTAAGTAATTTGTTCCGAAGGCTTTCAAAATTGATTTAAGACAGCCAAAATGATGCCTTGTGGGGCCTTGCGCGCATCATCGCCATCAGCAACAATGGAAACGACATCAAGCGTTTGAACTTAGATTCTTTTTGGTTACGCCTTTTGCACCAACACACATCTACAACCAGACGACGTTACGCACAGAAGTCTTTACACAGAGCAGCTTTTACGTGCAGGTATTTTTACACAGAGAAGCTTGTGCACAGAGAAACTTTTGTACACAGACACCTTTACACACAGAGGTTTTTACACAAAGAATGATTTTTTTACATACAGATGCTTTATACGAAGAGGTTTTTGCGCGCATAAATAAAGGCACGCAAGCATTTTTACACACAGAACCTTTGCCACAGAGAAACCTTTGTACAGAACAATTTTTACACACAGATTTTTTGGCACCGAAAAAAATAAACACTGAGAAAATCGTACACACAGACTGCACCCGAAAAAATGCGCCTCGACTTTTTTGCACGCAGAAACTTTACCCAGAACAGTTTGTACCCAGCAGCAACTCTTCCGCACAGAAGCCTTTCCGGACAGATTTTTTAAATGCACAGCAGTTATTACAGACAGATGGTTTTTACACAGAAAGTTTTCCGCACAGAAGGTTTTTGCGCACAACAGTTTTTTACATACAGCGGCTTTTATACACAGATGCCTTTACAGGAAGACGAATTGCACACAGAAACTTGTGCGTACAGCACACTTTTACATGCAACCAGTTTTTACACAGAGAGATTTTGTTTCCCCTTCTTGATCATCTACCTTTCGTGTTCCCCCTCTCAAGTTTCGTTTTTTTCGTGGTCCGTAGCCAGATCCTAGTTGCGTTCTTCCCGTTCCTTCCTTTTTTCCCTTCCCCTTCCTTTGTTCTTTGACGGTTCAGAAGTGAAAAGGTCTGACACGATGTGCAATGAATACAGGTTGGCACGAGAATCAGACGTGTCATGCCCCTTTAACAAGCGCCATGGAATCTCAAAATTCTGTGTGTGTGTCTGTTTTCTTTTCATTTTGTTATTTCCGTTTTGTCACACTTACTATTGTTTGCCTTTGAAGATGTATCCAACAGTGATGTGCGGAACATTAAGTTGAAAAGTAGTCGAATGTCAAAAAGAGCAAGCCAAAAGGGACAAGTAAGTGGAAAGGCACTTTTTTTAAGCATGGGCACATGCGACTAAAACTTACGCCCGGACCCTAACAAGAATATGGGGGGAAAATCAAGGACTCCAAGGACCGTGAAAGAGAAGAGTTGAGGTGTGCGTTTCGTATTTGTTTCGATGTCTTTGGAGGCAAATGCTTGTGCATACACATTGTGTGTGTGCACGTGTGTGTGTGCGGGTTTGCGCATGTGTTGGTATTTGGTTGATGAGACCTTTGCGTTATCAGGTCTACACCTATTTTGGAACGTTCTCTCGCTCGTTGCTCACCATGTTCGAGATAACCTTGGCGTCTTGGTTTCAAACCTTATCATGACCGCTTCACAGCGCACCGATACTGCAAACATCTGTAAAAAAAAGCAAATCTTTCATTTGAGCGGCAGTTCCTTAGTGTGAAAGTCAACAGCATTGATTCGATGGACTAGGGCTTCTCAGATCACCATCAGGATGGCTTCATCGGTTCGCTTGCATTTTTTGCTATTCTGCCCACATTTCTGGAATATATTTGCACTATTGTTTTTAAGGTAGGTCACGGGCACGAATGCTCCATGATATTTATGAATTCTTTATGGAATCTCAAGAAAATGCATACTGAGAGGCTAATTGGCCACCTGTTTGCCGTGCTCTTACTGAGAATGTGCTTTGGCTGCAATTCAGTCTGTGGCTCAATGCGGTGGGCTGGTGCATTTGGGACTAGCAAGAAACACGTTTGGGGTTGGCGGAAGTGTGCAGGATCCAGAACAAGTCATAACAGGCTTCAATGGTGGAGGATTCAGTGCCTAAATAGATACTATTTATTAGACCCTTGGCAATTTGACTCCGGTACAGACTATTTTGCAATATGCTTTCTTTTTTGGAGCTCTAACCTGACTCTCAGTCAAAGTTGAATCATTGCTTCCAAGGTTACTGAATGGTTCATGATTTTCTTTTTGGTCCACAAAGTTACCATGGGCTTTGCCGTCATTGGTGTCATCAATGGTGCCTTGTCCGCACCTTGAGAGAATGAGATGAATAGTCCGAACTCTCCGTGTGACTCAGCTGTCCAGCACGCAGGAGCGCATTCGCGGTAGCACTACTACTTCTACTATTACTACTATTACTACTATTATCATTACTATTACTACTACTACTACTCCTCCTCCTACTACTACTACTCCTCCTCCTACTACTACTACCCCTACTACTACCACTACTACTACCACTACTACCACTACTACCACTACTACCACTACTAGCACTACTACCACTACTACCACTACTACCACTACTACCACTACTACCACTACTGCCACTACTGCCACTACTGCTACTGCTACTGCTGCTGCTACTGCCACTGCTACTGCTACTGCTACTATTATTACTTCTACTACTACTACTACTCCTCCTCCTACTACTACTACTCCTACTACTCCTACTACTCCTACTACTTCTACTACTACTACTA